AGAGAGTACATAAAAATGGCTGGGGCTGGGGTTAGAGAGTACATAAAAATGGCTGAGGCTAGGGTTAGAGAGGACACAAAAATGGCTGGGGCTGGGGTTAGAGAATACATAAAAATGGCTGGGGCTGAGGTTAGAGAGTACATAAAAATGGCTGGGGCTGAGGTTAGTGAGTACATAAAAATGGCTGGGGCTGGGGTTAGAGAGTACATAAAAATGGCTGGGGCTGAGGTTAGTGAGTACATAAAAATGGCTGGGGCTGGGGTTAGAGAGTACATAAAAATGGCTGGGGCTGAGGTTAGAGAGTACACAAAAATGGCTGGGGCTGGGGTTAGAGAGTACACAAAAATGGCTGGGGCTGAGGTTAGTGAGTACATAAAAATGGCTGGGGCTAGGGTTTTAGAATGCACAAAAATAGCTTAGGCTGTTTTGATGGGGGCGTAGTAAAAAGTAAAGATGTTCGCGTATCCGATCCGGACATTGGGGAGTCCTTGTCAGTGAGCCAACTTATGCAGTTGCGAGCGCCGTAAAGCACTTTCCAAAAAAAAGACCCCAAATGAAATCGAAGAAATCAGCTCTCTCCCACACTTTACGAAAATCGTATCGATTTTAGTTTTGGCTGAATGACCTTGTGTGTCCAGTTAAAACACATTTCTGTGTGGATGTTACTGAAAAGAGTTGATCGATAAATGCATTTCAAAAATATTTTATTTGCAAATTGAACAGGGACTCCTAAACGTTGGAAGTTACCAAATATTGACGTCCAATTTCTAGCTAATATTCCCTGTGACACCAGGCAATCCCTACTTCTCTTCAAGGGCGGTGTAATCAGGCGCTCGTCAATTTGTTGAGCATGTTATGGAGTTATTTGTGTAGTCTTAAGGCACGTTATTTTTTCTTTCTTTCGGTGAAAAAAATACCCATCTGTCATAAACAGACGTCGAGACATTTGCCATTGAAGGAGGTGAGATAGCTTGTTTTCTGTGGTAAAATTTGCGAGAAAATGGCCGCCCAAAGTTTGGTAACTTCTATAGCCTCAGAGTCATTGTAAACTGAAAATTTACCTATTTGTGCCATTAAAAAACGTTCTTCGGTAAAATTCACATTGAAATGTATTTTTATACAGACATAAAAGGTGTTGAACGAAAAAAATTGAAAAAATAAAATAAAAAAGTCGACAAATATTGCCAAACTGGGGGAAAACGCCTCTTTCTTTTATTTCATAATTTTGACTAGCGCCTGATATCCCCATGATGGGTATTCTTTCATCCTAAGCGAGACAGATTAATAATTATGCTGTAAGATGGTTTCATTACTTTAAATGGCCAAAAGTTGACGAGCGTCTGATTTCACGTTGTCGAAACGCAAAAGCTGAGGAATTTTATTTGCTTTTCTTGGGTCTGAGGGGGTGAGAATGAGGGTTTTCGTGTGGGAGTGTGTGTGTATGAGTGAGTCAGTGAGTGAATGAGTGAACGCACGTGTATACGTGTATGTGAGTGAGTGAGTGTGTGTGTG